TGGAATTGTCTCGGTTGCTGAACAGAGTAGCAGCTTAAAGGAGTTTTATTTGCATAATTTCAAATTGAAAGTAGGGGATGGGGTGCGGATTAGATTTTGGTCAGATGCTTGGTGTCAATCTGTGTGTCTGAAAGATGAATTTCCAACTCTGTATCGGTTGTCTTTGGAAAAAAGAGAGTGCTTGAGAGTATTGGTTGATAAAAAAACCATAGCAGGGGCTTGGTCTTTGCATCCATTCATCTGTATTGCATGCACCGGGCTCGGCGCATCACACTAACTGTATTGTATTTCAATTCCAATTTGAATACATGTATCAAGTTACATCCCACATGACACTCTTAGGATAGCTGAGCCTATCTTAATTGCATTCTCGCATGTGTTGCATTAGCCATCTTAACAGGAACTAGGGTCATGCATGATTTCTAACTAGTTCTTTAACATCCAAGTCTTGAAAGGCCGTCAAAAATGGGGTGTCTACACTATGTATATGTATACGTATACGTATATAATGCATATTTTGCATATCATCGCATCCCACATTTTCATATTTCACGTGAGATGTGTTAGGATTTGAAGGCTGGGAGTGATCTGTGAAAATGACTCCACAGTTTGTGTGTTTTGTAACAGCGAAAGTGAGTCATTGAACCATGTCTTAATCTGGTGCCCATTTGTGTGGAACATATGGACTGAAATGCTAAAGTGGTGGGATGTCCAATCTGCTTTGCCATGCACTGTGGAGAGTCTCCTCCTGTGGTGGGCTGGGGGAAAGTTAAAGAAGAAAGAAAGGTTGATTTGGGGGGCAATTCCATTGGCAGTGATGTGGTCAGTCTGGAGATGCAGGAATGAGTGTGTCTTTAGAGCAACTCCCCCAAATTTAGAGGATATCTGTGAATTAATTAAAATCAGGATTGCTTTCTGGGTAAACCCATATCTAAGAGACTTTCAGTTCTCTGTACAGGATTTTGGAACCAATTTGAGGCAAATAAGGAGGTGTTTGGGAGGGGTAGGTGCAATGGACTGAATGGCTGCTGTTGTGATGTAGGGAGCCTCTGCTGTAGTGGTTGCACTGTGTTGAATTGCAGCTGTGTAGTGTAGATATGTTGGTACTCTGAAGGGTGGAAATTTTGAATACGAACAGAGGGGTAGTATGTGTAATTTCGGGGTGTAGGTATCCTTACCCAACTCTGCACCTGTGCAAAATTGAAGTTTATATGCTGTGCAGTCTGTTTGGTCCTCCTGGTATAGAACCAACAGTGGTTCATCTACCTTCATGCTGTCCAGATTTATCAGTTCAATGCTTTATTTTGCTCTGGATCTGGATCCTCTAGCTCATATCAGTGCTGTCCAGATGGGTGTTCTCATTTATTTATCAGTTCAATGCTGTCCAGATGGCTGTTCTGATCTTCTAGTCTACTCTGCTGATCTGTTAGTCTGTTTGTATCTGGTCTGATCTGCACATGTTCGGTTTATGCGTCTGTGGTGATAAAAGCTTCAAGACACCCAAAGTAGTGCTGCTTTGTGCTGCTCAGTTTTGGTGTTGGTCTCATTGGGCTGGTCTCATTCTGTGTGCTGCTTTTTGCTATGAATCTGTGTGCTCTAGCTCATATCACCAAATTGTGGAGGAGTTTGCTCAGTTTTGGTGATTATATCCTGTGCAATTTAGCTGGTTTGTAGGCTGTTTGAGTCTTTTTTGTTCCTTTTTGTATTGTTGTTGGGCTCTCTCCTTTTTGGAGCTTGGAGCTTCAGTATGTTCCAAGCTCCTCTTTATTGATGTCCTGTATCCTTCTTGTATACTTTCATCAATAAAGATTTCTCTTTGCCGATCAAAAAAAAAAAAAAAAAAAATAATATATATATATATATATATATATATATATATATATCAATGTCTTACGACCACCGAGAATTATCCATTCACATAAGTTAAGTTCCATTACCTATGACTCATGTATTGTCATAAATCTTATCACCATTGATATTTTATTATCTACTACTTAAGTAAACTATTCAGGGATTTAACCTCAATATGTATGCTTCTCTGACTACTACAGTAAAAGTCTTGTAATATTTTAAGGATAAATTATCAATAGGTTTTATTTTTAAGACTTATTACCCATTAACTTTTATTGAAATCAGCCTCTTTTATTTTTATGAATAAATTTATCGTGACAAATTTATTGATCAGGACCTGTAGGTAAATATGTCTAATTAATAAGACTTTAAATGTTTACATATCTCATCAAATACATTACTTGAGCATTACACATGAATTCAACATGGGTTCATTCACATAGATGTATTTGAATTTAGAAATAAACAATTTACTTAGCCTCACACCACCTTCTAAAGGCACAAATTCTATATTCCAATATGAACTGACCAAATCTCTCTTTATTGATGTTTGCTCATATATAATGTATGTTTGTTATTATCAATAAAGTTTTTTCTTTGCCCATCAAAAAAAATGAACTGACCAAATCATCTTCGATTAAACCAAGATTCACAAAAGATATCATCTTGGATAATTCATTGGGAAAAAAAAGAGTTTATATTTAGAAATTATGTGTACCAACTTGGATAGTATACAATGATTCAATCACACTCAAAAAAAAAAAATTTTTAAAAAAAAAATACTGAGAATGCCAAATTTGAGGAACATAAAAAAAAAAATTGCTGTTGCAAATTGAATTTTTGAATAAAGTTATTAAAAAAAAAAACTGCAAAAAATCATAAAATTGAACATCTAAATGATAAAATTTATTAAAAAAATACCTTCAAATTATGACATTATTGTAAGTTTTCACATTCAGACCAGTTTCAGTTAAACATGAACTTCTAAGAACTAATTCACCAACATTGAATCCAACACTTATTTAGCCTTCTGTTACCTTTTTTCTTTTTTTGATCGGCAAAGAAAATTTTATTGATGATGCACATACAAAGTACAATAGAAAATATCAATAAAGAGGAGTTTGGAGCTGGAACAAGCTCCAACCTCCTAGTTGGTGCGAAACCAAGTGGACAAAATAGACCAAAGTGCATTAGTAGTATAGCCTATCTTTGGAGATGCACATGATTAATTTTATTTTGGGTTTATAGTTGAAATGTTTAGTTTGACAATGATGCAAATGCAATTGTACCCTTTGCTATTATTATAATTTCTCTGTTTGTTTGCTGCTTAAAAAAAAAAAAAACAAAATGAGAATTCTTCTGATAGAAGATGAGGAAAAAAAACCAGGATTGCAGTGGATATATGGTCATAGGATGTCAGAGGTAACTCCCCTTTTTGTTACTTCTTTCATTGGGATTGTTAAGAAGTGCACTACTGTATTAGACCCACCACATTCTCAGCCTATATTGTCCAATAATTGAAAAACAATCAAACGGTCCAAAGTCGATCTCCATTCCATACCATACACTCTCTGTTTTTTCAAGCACTTAAAAACAACAATGTTCCAACTAGTTTTAATCCTTGATTTTATGATAAGGTTCAAATAGGTACACCATTCCCCTACATGGACCCTCCTCTCCATACTTCACATGTTGCCCACTAACATCTACATCTGAACCATTTAATGGGTGGGTCACTTATCGGATAGGACATGTCCAAAATTAGAAAAACAAAGTTTGTAAAATCTGAAAAAATAATTTTAAAAAATCTCAAAAAAAAAAAAGAAAGAAGGGGTATGATGTTGATTTTCAAATTTAATGTGATTAGGGTCACTCCAAAATAGATTTAATCCAGTCTTTATTTTTTTTTTAATTTTTTTTAGCAATTATTGCCAAAATTAACAAGCAGCTCAAACCAATTATATTAAATTTAACTACCAAACTTTATGTTAGCTGATTTATTTGTGACCCACTAAACAAATGGTCCAGATAAAAATGAATGAGGCATCAAATCAATCATATTGTATATTCTTTGAATAGATGAGAGGAAACTAATTTCCTTATTTTGTGATCTTTGCTTTTTGAAAAATTTGGGTATGGTAAAGACATTAATTCATATTGCTGACCTAGCTACCTAAAATAAATGACATCAACAAAAGATTAGCCTCAAATAGTTGTGATGAATTTTCTCATTGATGAATCCATGTGCAAAAGAAGGCATTGGGGTTATAATTTTCTCTTGGTAAATAGGACAACCAACTTCCCTTAAGTCAAAGCACTTCACAAACCTAAATCCACTAGAGATATAAAGTGAAAGAAGTCCTATCACACTTCACTTTCCAATGAAAAAACCACAACCCACATGATCTTGCTTGGGGATATTGAAAGATCATTCACACCCTTCTCAAAAGAAGATCTCTCTCTATATGCCTCCAATTCCAACTCCCATCACCCAATACACTCCAAAAAACACCATTTCCATCTATCTCCATCTCTATCTCTCTCTCTCTCAACAAAGGGCCCTACACTAATAGCCTTCTTACCTACTCTAACTATTTGCCTAATCAACAGAGCCGTGACAAGTGTCAAATTACGATTCAAACATTTGTCACACAAACAGGTCCCATTTTTGCCTACTTGGCACTCCTAATCATGAACTAACATGTGTCACCCATGAGGCCCCCCAACCTTTCATGCCCAACTCAAATTATTGAACTTAGTGAAGGGCTATGGTGGGGGAGATGGGAAGGGGTCCTGAATGATGCATCCAAAAGGCAAAGTACAGAGGCAGGTGCAATCATTCATGCCATAGATTTCATCCTAAGCAAATGAGAAATTCCCCACACCCAAATATATATATATATATATATATATATAAAGTGTAATAATATACAAATTAAAAAATTATACACAAATATACAGAAGGATATGTTAAATTTATCTTCATTTATTTTGAATTAAAAAATTAAAAAGAATTCTTATTATTTTAAACTTGCTATTAACTATCATTTTGAAAGAATTTTTTTTTGTACAAAAAATCTTTTTACAAATCATTTTCGAAATAAAAAAGGAAGTTCCAAAAGTTACTAATAAAAACATCATTTCATTTGTTACAAAAACTTCTCTATGTGATTTACACCTTCCTCTCCCCATCTCCTCTCCTCTCTCTCATTGGCAAAAATAGAATTGTTTACCTTCTCCCCCCTCTTCTCTCTTTCTTATATTTTTTTTTTCTTTCCTCCACTTCTCTCCTCGTCTCCTTCTCCTTCTTCTCTCTACTTTAGAGAGAGAGAAAGAGAGAGAATTAGGCATGAAGAACACCATAAGGTGCTGCATCTCCTGCATTCTTCCATGCGGAGCACTCGACGTAATTCGAATAGTACACGCCAATGGCCGGGTTGAAGAGATAAGCGGCACAATCCGAGCTGCCGAGATCATGAAAGCTCATCCAAAGCACGTCTTGAAGAAGCCCTCATCGCCATCAGACGGTGGCTGTTGTCCGAGGATCGTGATCGTGCCGCCCGACGCCGAGCTTCAGCGCGGGAAGATATACTTCCTCATGCCGGTGCCATCGACGACACAGGAGAAAACCCGGTCGTCGAGGTCATCGACAAGGAGGAAAAAGAGAGAAGCTGCACAAACCAATGTGAATACAAGTATTTCTATGACGGCGACAACGAACCTTCTCATTTCTGATCGGTATTTGAGCGAAATCCTATCGGAGAAGCTGTCTACGCAGAGGGACCGGAGGCGAGGCCGTGCCGGAGTCTGGAGGCCTCATTTAGAGAGCATATCGGAGACTCCAACCGAAGTTTAATGGCCGGTTATGTTTTGATTCTTCTTATCATTAATTTTCAATCCATTAGGGTTCTTGTTTCTTATTAAACTCTCCTTTTCTTTTTTCTTTTCTTTTTTCTTTTGGGTTTTGTTTTGTTTTTGTTTTTGTATATATAATCATAGAGATAAGAAAAGAAAAAAAAATAATTATGTAAAAGTTGTGTCATGGCCTCGATATTGTGTTGATGACTCTGAACAGTTCTGGTTGGATCTCGGTTCCGGAAAGTGGCCGGAAAATGGGCACAGTAGCCGGAAGTGAACTTTTATTGGTTTTGAGCTTCGTTGAAGTGTGCTTCTAGTTAAAAAATATGAATGGAGGCTGTAATTTTTGTAATGTGGATGCCTAGAGAGAGAGAGAGAGAGAGGGAGAGAGAGAGAGAGTATTTTTTATTTTTTTTTCAAGAGAGATTGGTGTTGAGAAAGATCCCACTTGTACTGTTCAGTGTTTTAGCAATGTAATATTTTTCTTATATTTTTCTTTTTTGGGGTAATAAGAATATTGAAGGTGATTGTGATGTGATTAGCACCATAACCATTGCGATAATCTAATCTAAGATGACAATAATACCCATGATTTGAATATTGAAAAAAAATGATTATGTATTAGGTTGGTTTTGGTATCCTTATGTGTGAAATGACCAAATTGCCCATGATTTGAATATGAGACAAGAAAAATGCTTGGGAGCACTAATTAGTGCTCCCACTAATTAGGTGGCAGTGGGTCCCGCCCGAGTGAGTGGTGGTGGTGGTGGTGGTGGCGGGAGGTTGGTGGTGGTTGTGGTGGCAGGTGGGTGGCGGATGGCAGATGGCGGGTGGTGGTAGTGGTGGGTAAGTGGGTGACCATGGCGGGCGGGTTGTTTCAAATATTCTAAATAAATGTATTTTTTGACTTTTTATAAAAAGATGCGTAGAAAAATAAATAAGAGATGTTGATTGATGTGACCTAAAAAAGATAAAAAGATAAAAAGTGTGAACTTATTTAGTCTTTCCAAACAAGGCCTTAGATAGAGTAGTATGACGTGGTTTGGAGCTTCTATTTGGACACCTTTTCATTAGTGCAGATTATTATTATTTTTTTAGATATTAATTATCGAATAAAAATTAATAATACAATTATCACTTATCGAAGAAATGAATTTTCATTTGGTAGTAAATATTTGACGATGAATTTGTGTTTGCTAATTGATATTCAATAGAAAAAGTTGTGTGAATAAAAAAAGTTTGTGGTGTGTAAATAAAAACTCGCGTTATGAATGTGTTGAGACTTATCATTTTAAAAGAAAATTGTTTATCATTTTAAAATAAAGTGTATATTAAAGTGATGTTTACTTATAGACTTATCACCTCACATAGTTCTAATAAAAAAAATTATTTATAAAGATTCTATGAATATAATATTTTCTCTTTTTCATTTTTTTTTCTTTTGCTGGGGGGTGTGGTTACAAAATGATTGTGGGTTAAAGGAATCAAGTTAATCAAGGTAAAAAACAAAGTTGGCTTCGTATCATTTCTTATTTTGTACTGCTTCATTTATCTAGGTGGAAAAAAAAAATGCAACACTATTTGGTATGATATATAATAAACTTACAAACTAAATCATGTTAACTTTAAGAAAAAATTTGAATTCTTAAAAATTAATCCCTTTGTGTTGATAAGACCCATGCTGTAGCTTCCCAATTATAAAAAACTTTACCATGTTGTAGCTTCCCAATAATCAAAAAACTTTATAATAATGTATATGTTTAGATGATCAAAGTGACTTTGAGGTTGATGGAATAATTGTCCCCACCTTGCTTTGAACAATAGAATAATGGAAATCTAGCTTTGCACAAGCAAGTGGGCATGTCTTTAAGCATTTTGTTCTTTAAGAGATTATTAGAGATGATGCCAACAGCATCCCTATAAAAAGTGTATTACAGTGTGGGATTAGACCTTTTCACACTGGCTGGAATGGTTATTCTCATATTCTGATATATATCCAATCCAGGTTTTTCCCAATCCCACTATTTGGGGCCATTGAAAAGGTGGCACAATCATTGGAATCTGATCCAATACAGATCATGGATCATACGAATATATATATATTTTAGATGGTGAATGTATATATACTTATATATTGTGGATAGTGTTATTCATTTTAGGAAAATGGTAACCCAGAGCTCCAATGGCATTGGTTTACAAGATGGAAAATGTTGTCTATATAAGGATCTTGTTTTGTGACACTTGTTCATTGAAATGTCACTAGAGCCTTTTATGTTTGTCGTTTTGTGGCATTTTTCAAAAACATGCCACTAAATATCAGTTTTTGTGGCATTTTCTAAAAATATGCCACTAGTGTAGTGCCACTAAAGTATGTTTATGTTGTAGTGAAGGTCAAAAAATTTAGAATAAATTATAGTGGTGGTTCTTATATTTTAATTATTGTGTTATTTTGGTCTCTACATTCTCAATTAACTCAATTTTAACTTTTAATTTTAAATATTATGTCAATTTAGTCCAATTGATAATATTATTTGTGTTTTTTATAAAAGATTATTACTAAATTGATTGAGGTTAACTCATTGAGTTAGTAAGATGAATCGCTTTGTTTGGTTAGAATTTTTCAAAAATACTTTTCAGAAAATTATACTTTCTTATTTTTCGTATTTTTTTGATTTTATTGATTTTTTTAATATTTTAAGAAATTTTTTTGCTTTTTAGACATACTTAACATAATATACCTATAAAGTAAAAAAATTTGTGAAAAAACCTTTTAAAAATTTACTAAATATCAAAAATATAAAAAATACAAAAAAATACGAGAATTCAGTACATTTTTTTATATTTATATGTATTTATTAATTTTTTAAAATATTTTTTCACAAATTTTTTATTTTTTAAATACATCAAAGTAATTGCATATAAAAAAGTAAAAAAATGTTTAAAATTTTAAAAATATGCACTAAAAACAAAAAAAAAATACAAAAATTAAAAAATTTAATTTTCAAAAAACTTAATCTAGAAAACTCAAACCAAATACACTGATTATAATTTTTCCCTTAAAAATATAACACATGACCTTATGCATATTTTTCATAAAAATATGTTGAGTTATAATCACTTGGACCAACTTGAGACATAATTATAAATCCAGGGTTAAAATCGAGTCAATTGAAATTATAAAGACCAACTAACACAATAATCAAAATATAAATACTAATGTCGTAATTTGCCAAAAAAAAAATTATAATTTCAATATAATTTTTACATATTTGAGAGCACTTTTATACTTTTTAATATAATTTACACTTTTTGGGGGATATTTTTTTTAATAAATCCTCTTTCTATGTGTTTTATTCCATGCAACTCATCTTATTTTTTGGTATTCCATTAGATCTTGTTTAATGTAATATGGCTAAATCATCCTTATATATATATATATATATATATTTGAACATATTTTCATTTTGAAATTAATACACAATAAAAAGATAACAATAATCTCTCATTTAGTGGAAAAAAATATTTTCCTCATTTTAAGAAGAAAATATCTCCTTCATTCTAAGGAGAAAATTTCTTCCTCATTCCAATGAGAAAATTTATCCCTCATTTCATAGAGAAAATTTCAAATTATGAACTTTCAACTTTTTTATACTATGAAAATTTTAAAAATAATGCAATTAAAAATCTAAAAGAAAATCAAAATACAATGTGAATATTCACAATAAACAACAAATATGCAACTAACTTTTAAAAAAACAAACACGTAACAAAGTATAATGTGAATGTTCACAATAAATAACAAGCATACAACTAACCTTCTAAAAAATAAAACTTATACCAAAATAAAATATGAATGTTCACAATTTACAATTAACATACAACTAGCCTTAAAAAAATAAATGCATACAAATGTGAACATTTACACTGCAATGTGAAAATATAAAACAAAATTGAAAAAAGTGAAAATCGACTATTTTGATTGTTCAATGGTTATAAAAATGACTATTCAACCAACAAGCATGATAACCAAAACAACAAACATACAACTAATTTTCGAATTTAAAAAAAAAAAAAAGTTCATATCAAAATACAATATTAATGTAAACAATTTGCAATTAACTTATGACTAGGCTTAAAAAAACTAAATTCATACCAATATGAACATTCACATTGAAACATGAAAACATGAAACAAAATTAAAAGAAAGTAAAATTTGATTATTCCGATTGTTTAATGGCAACAAAAATATTTTTTCAAACAACAAACATAGTACCAAACAATATAGAAAAATCATCAAATAATTCATATACATTGGCCAACCTTTTTAGAAAAATCTTTTTATAATCAAAGCCAGTATAATATAGGTGAATTAACTACACAATACAAATGGCTATACAAATCGACGAAGGGATTGTGGTTTATGTGTAACAATAGCAAAAAAATAATTGTTCATTGCCAGTTTACCATCATCTCCATTACCAGTTTATAGCTAACTTTTTGTTCTAAATGTTCTTCTATAGTAGAACCTTAATGCAAAATAATGGTGAAGGAATATCCTTAATTGAGTAAATTCCTCACATTGAGACAAAGAAAATGCTAAAAATAATAATCTTCCATATTATGTATACAATGTTTTATATTATTAAAAGTAGTGTTTGCTCTCAATTTTTCTCTTTCTTATGTGACACATCTCTCTCTCTCTCTCTCTCTTTTCTTTTCTTTTTTACTAAAATGCCACATCAATATATCATTTTACCAAAATTCATTTTAAAATTTAATATTTAAAAAATTTCTACTTAATCTAAATTATCCATAAAAAGTCCTAAATTATACATACTAAAAGTACTTTACCAATTAATTTTATTATACTTTTTTTCACTTTTTTAAATAAAATATTAAAATTATTTCTTATTTTTATGTCTATCTTATTTATAATATTAATTATCTTAAATAATTATAATCACTTTTAATTTTATAACAATTATTTCTAATATCAAGTTATAATTTAATATCATATAAATTTATTATATATTTATTTAAATTACGTTTTTGTAGCATGCAAGATTAAAATTATCAAATGAATATTTTTTTTATATATGTTATAATTTAAAATAATTTAAAATTATTATATATATTTATTTAATTTATATTTTTATAGTACGATAGAACTAAAATTATTAAAATATACACAAATAATTTATTTAAAATTATTATATGTGTTGATTTAAATAACACTTTTATAAAACGACAGGATTAAGATTATCAAAATAAATAAATAAAAGTATTGCTTCCCTTTAACTTTTTTCCTATGTAGCGCATCTTTCTTTTTTTCTTTTTCTTTTTTTGATTTTTAATAAAAATTTCAGATCAATACCCTTACCAAAATTCTTTCTAAAATTTAATATTTAAAATACTTCTACTTAATATAATTATCCATAAACAAAACTTAATAAAATTATATACACTAAAAATATTTTACTAATTAATTTTAGGATTAATTACCTAAAAGTTCAATCTACATATTTGGTAGTAGTTTAGGTC